TTTTTTAAAGAGGAAAATGTGCCAACAAGCGCAAGATAAGGCCACGTTTATTCTATTGAGATTATTCAGCTTTTGCTTTTTGTCTCTGTGATGCAAACCAGTACTGAACAATGTGTCCTTGTGGTCTTTCAGAATAGATATTGGATAGATTTTGTTGCTTTTTACACCACAAGATCAAAGTCTGTTCAATAATCTTTAATTTGAGAACAGAATTTTACATAAATGTCCACACAGATAAATTAATATGGCATTTCCTTTGACCATATTCTCTCTCGAAGAAGCAAATGATGTTAACAGAAACCTGCCTTAAATGGAAAATATCTGATAAATTATTTGTCTTCTCGCTCTGTATGTCTTCTCATGTAGACAACCCTTTTTACATAGTAGTGGTTCAACTCAATCTTTTAATCCATTGGTTGGAGACAGACAGGAACCTTCTCTTCTGTGATTCTCATTTTAAACAGAAATTTTTAAAAACAACTCCAGCAATGAATGTTTGAAAGTTCCAGAATACTTCTATCGTGAAAAGCCGATATGTGTCTGCTAAATGATCCCGAACTGTTTTCTAAATGTTCTCTGAGAGATCAATTAAACTTCAGCGATTATATCACTGACTGTTCCCCTGAGGGAGAGAATCAACATTTTGCATCTGATGACTTCTGCAACCATGAGAAACAGTTCTCAATCACCTGAGGTCGGGAATTCGAGACCAGCTTGACCAATATGAAGAAACCCAGACTCTACTAAAAATACAAACAAATTTTGTATTTTGTAAAAATACAAACAAATTAATCAAGCATGGCAGTACATGCCCGTAATCCCAGTTACTCAGGAGACTGAAGCAGGAGAATTGCTTGAAGCCAGAAGGAGGAGGTTGCGGTGAGAGCTGAGATCTCGTCATTGCACTCCAGCCTGGGCAACAAGAGCAAAACTCTGTCAAAAAAAAAAAAAAAAAAAGTCTGGTTTTGTTCATTCTTGAATGTAAATCGTGTTTACTTCCTCAAAATCTTACATTGGCATAGGGTTTGAGAGTTTTCATACAAGCTCTTTCCATTCACAGATACATTTCATTTGATTCTCACTGCAGTGCTACATGATAAGCAGCTGCAGTTTTTACACCACATGAGAAAAAGTTGAAACTCCTGCAGGCCACAGCACTGGCTGTTGGCTCAGTTCAAATGAGAACTTAGGTCTCTGGGTTTCTCTGGCATCTGGCATCCACATTGCCAGTGCTCAGGACGGCTCCCACACATGGAACCTCTTATGACAACAGCTATGTACACACATTACTGTAGCACATTCACCAAAATCACCTGTGCATCTACAGACCCATTTTCCTGCCAATCCTATCTGCACATGGTGGTGCTTTTCTAGTTAGAAAACAAAACTGGTATTCTGTGTGCTGTCAGCCAAACAGAGCTTTTCAGGCAGTAGGGGTTGTTCCACTTTATGTGGCTGACAGAGTTGTGTTAACAAAGTATTTGGCCGCCAGGCGCGGTGGCTCACGCCTGTAATCCCAGCACTTTGGGAGGCCGAGGCGGGCGAATCACAAGGTCAGAAGTTCGAGACCATCCTGGCCAACATAGTGAAACCCCATCTCTACTAAAAAGACAAAAAATTAGCTGGGCGTGGTGGCAGATGCCTGTAGTCCCAGCCACTCAGGAGGCTGAGGCAGGAGAACTGCTTGAACCTGGGAGGTGGAGGTTGCCGTGAGCCAAGATCTCACCACTGCTCTCCAGCCCAGGCGACAGTGCAAGACTCCGTCTCAAAAAGAAAACCCAAGGTATTTGGCCAACATATAAAATCTCGAGGGATCTAGAATTTACAGTGGAACTTTCAAGTACTGTATCTTGACCTTGTAAAAAGGAGGGGAAAACCTCAACTGTACTCAGGAAATAGAATCTCAAGTGTGTTTATGGAAAGCTGTGACCTTGGTGGACTTCCTGGGACAGCAGACAGTGGGAGCAGCCAGGGATCTAGGGAGAGCCCCCCTGCTGAGGCCCCTAGGCCCCCATGGGAAACTTTCCATTAAAGGTTGGTAGATGGGGTGGGGGTAGTGGGGATGCTAAAGACACATTTCCTGGGCATATTTCTGGTTGATAAACTGATGACACAGACAAGCTTCTTCTTACTCATCTAGTTCGAATTGCTAGGGAAGAAAGCATTCAAGACCTGATACTTATCTGAGGAATGGCAGGAAGTCTGGGGTGACTTTTCTCAAGGCGGGGGGACAAAGAGAATGAGAGGAGAATGAAATAGAATAGAAACCAAAAATAAAATTCCAAGTCCTCCAACCATCTGAATGGACCCTTCGTCTCAGCCAAGGGCATTCCAAAGTAAACCTGTGAAGCTACTTCAGGCCATGAGGGGAAGGGGAAGGTTGGGCATGTTTCATTACCATTCACACCAACATGGATCTTAAGACTGAAAGAACAGGCCAGGTGCGGTGGCTCACGCCTGTAATCCCAGAACTTTGGGAGGCCAAGGCAGACAGATCACTTGAGGTCAGGAATTCGAGACAAGCCTGGCCAAGATGGTGAGACCCCATCTCTACTAAAAATACAAAAATTACCCAGGCATGATGGCAGGCACCTATAATCCCAGCTACTCGGGAGGCTGAGGCACGAGAATTGCTTGAACCCAGGAGGAGGAGGTTGCAGTGAGCCAAGATCACGCCACTACACGCCAGCCTGGGCAAAAGAGCGACACTGTCTCAAAACAAAACAAAACAAAACAAAAACCTGACAAAACAGACTCTTTAAGTCTGGTAAGAAACAGCTACAATCTGTTCTTTCTGAAGCCGGCTACCTGGAGGCTTCATCTGTATGATGAAACCTTGGTCTCTGCAACCCCTTCTCATATATAACGCAGACAATCCTTTCTATTGGCTCCAGGTCTTTAGATAATAACTCAACCAATCGCCAGTCAGAACATCTTTTAATCTATCTATGACCTGGAAGCCCCCACCCTACCCTCGGCTCCCCGTTGTCCCACCTTTCTGGACCAAGCCAATATACATCTGACCATTACTGATGGATGTTGCATGTCTTCCTAAGACACATAAAACCAAGTTGTGGCCTGACCACTTTGGGCACGTGACACCAGGACCTCCTGAGGCTGTGTCACAGGCATGTCCTCAACTTTGGCAGAATAAGCTGTTAAATTGAGACTTCTCTCAGATACTTTTTGGTTAGCGAGAAGGAGAAGGAAGAAGAAAGTATATTCTTGATCTTGGATTTGTATTCCATTCCCTTACTTGATTAAATTTGTTTCACTGTGTTCATTCAAATAAATGACCATTGCAGCCTCCCGTATACTCAACAGGGCGGCGGGAGGGGAGGTGCTCACAGATGTCAAGCCTCTCTGGGAAGAGATGACACGCAACCATGGCAGAACTCACGGGTTACTCAGAATGGAGATTGTTCGGGGAGGCGCTGTTTATTCAACATCTTTGTGCGCGGAGTCCACGCCCCGCTGCAGGGGCCACCTACTCCCAGGGCCTACACAGGCTCTGAGCATGCACTTCCAGGATACACACCTCTGGACGAGGTCACTCAGGTGCAGTGAACGGTCCCTGGTCTCTGCTGGCTTTGGGATTTTGCTGGCTGATAGCCCCATCCCATTTGCTGCCAAATAGACACTTGTAAGTCCAAGCAAGACTGCCACATTTCCAAGAATGCGAATTTACAAGTCAGGGGGACGATGTCCATGTGACATGGTCTAATGTTCCCAGGGCCCGACCAAGAAGAGCACCACCAATCACAGTGATAGCAATAACAAGAATGATGACGACAGCTTTCTTTACTCATTCGCTCTCTTCATGTCCCTTCCCAACATTTACACCCGTCCTCACAGGGCTGGAAAAGACGACGAACCCCCAGGGCGGGGCACTGAACTCGTAGTTAGGAAAAGGCAGACAAAGAAGGGAAAACAGAAAGGTCGGAAAACGGCATGGAAGAGAACTTGCACTTGTCTGTGTGAAGTCCCTTCTGTGCGGTGGGAAACTGCACTGCTGAGATTCGTCCCACTTGTTTCCCGGAGTGGCTCCTGGCTCCCGGCTCCCTTTCTCTCCTGAAATTCTACCCCCGTAGGCTTTTAAATCACTGTATTCATCATACTCTTCAGGTCAAGAGCCCCACGGACACGTGAATCACTTACTCACTAGTGTTATATGCATTTAGTGAAAGCTGCCACCAGCCAGGCGCCCTGCAGTCCTTGATTGTAAGTCTAGTGAGAAAGGCGAGGGCCCTGACCAGTGGCACACAGTGGGAGAAGCAGCTGGCCATGGTCTGGACTGGCTGCTATGGGACAGAGGGGAACAACACCACACCTGCCTTGGTCAAAGGCTTGGCTGACACAAAAGACGATAAATCAGGCCAGGCGCAGTGGCTCACACCCATAATCACAGCACTCTGGGAAGCTGAGGCAGGCAGATCACGGGAGGCAAGGAGTTCGAGGCCCGCCTGGCTAACACGGTGAAATACTGTATCTACTAAAAATACAAACATTAGCTAGGTGCAGTGGCACACGCCTGTAATCTCAGCTACTCAGGAGGCTGAGGCAGGAGGATTGCTTGAACCCGGGAGGCAGAGGCTGCAGTGAGCTAAGATGGCGCCAGTGCACTCCAGCCTGGGCAACAGAGTGAGATCCTGTCTCAGACAACAACAATGAAGATAGCCAAATGTGATGGTACACACCTGTAATCCCAGCTACTCAGGAGGCTGCGGCACAAGAATCACTAGAACCCGGGAGGCGGATGTTGCAGTGAACAGAGATTGCACCACTGCACTCAGCCTGGATGACAGAGCGAGAGTCTGTCTCAAAAAAAAAAAAGAAAAAGGAAAAGAAAAAGAAATGAGGCCTCAGATCTAAGAAAGGGAGGGTTGTTGCTGACTTTT